TCAGATGCAAGTCTTGCATCTGAAGAAGTGAGGTTCTTACCCACGAAAGCTTATGCTCCCAATACTTCTGTTAGTCTTAAAGGTGCCACAGGACTCTCTGTTGCTTTTTAGTTAATGCACGTTCACAAGTCAGGACACTTAGGTAGGTGTCAGAATAAGGACCAATGAGCTGAACTTTAGGAATCCATTTTAAAGTTTTGGTCTGCCACCTCTTTTCATTATGTTCCCAATTCTTGTCAGACTGACATTCAATATATCCATTTTGTTTTATGCACATATTTTGAAACATGATAGTAGAAAATTCATTTCAGTAAAAAAATAATTATTCATCAACATCTTAAACCCATAATCTTCCACATTTCTTTACTTAAAGCATGTTATCAATATGTCCTTTCAGAAAGTCCTGACTATCCTCCACAAGTGCCTGACACAGTAGTGAAGCAAGTTCCCTCTAAGTGTTAGATTGAAAGTAACACTGACAGTACTCTGTTATCATTTAGGAACATGCACTGAGGGCGGTGATTATGTACACTATTTAGAACTGAGTGTTCAAGAACAAGAAATGGGCAGTTTTCAGTTATTTAGAACCTTTTTTTTTTTTTTAAATAAAAAGCTGCATGACCTCAAAGGGCTACCATATGCTATCATTTAAACACAGATGACATCTGTGCTTAAAGATGGACATTACTGTCTCCAGTTTGCATTTTTACATGACATTTCACCAAGATACTTTTCAAAGAGTGCACTGGTATAATCCCAGAAAATTTCCCTGTAAGAGGTTCTAGTGTCCAAGGCTGTGGGAGATGCTATTGTTTAGCAAATAATGGCTGCTGTGTTTACCTACACTGTCAATGCATTACCTTTATCCAGACCATTTTGATAACATGGTCTGAGATATCTAATTGTGGCTTTAGTTTCCTTCCAAGTTCTAACCTCTAAGAAGCACAGCATTAACCTAATTTGACTAGAGTATTTGGATAAGTGCACCAATAGTTACTTACCACAACAGAATCATTGTGAGTTAGATCAACTACTACAGGTTCAGAAGATTCACATGTGAGATCTACTACTTCTTCACCAGCTTAAAATACAATGATAAGAGTCAAGATCATGCATGTAGAGCTGTATAACACCTGCCATTCCACAACAAGGTTGAGGCATGAACCTATAGAATGCTACCATTTACTAAATGCTGATAGTTTGTGTTCCCTCCCCAACCCTCTCCTTTAAGGCAGACATTGAACACATCTCTCAGGCTCTCATTAAAATGCTAGGAGAGTTAATACTACTATTGCGTGTTTTGATTTGCAGCAATAGAAAAACTGCAGCAGTTGTTCTCCCCTCCCCGTGCACATACTTCACTTTCTTAAACTTGGTGTGATAACTTGTGTGAGGTAAGTATCAATATAAACTGGATGTATTACTTTAATATGGGGGGAGGGATAGCTCAGTGGTTTGAGCATTGGCCTGCTAAACCCAGGGTTAGGAGTTCAATCCTTGAGGGGGCCATTTAGGGATCTGGGGCAAAAAATCTGTCTGGGGATTGGTCCTGCTTTGAGCAGGGGGTTGGACTAGATGACCTCCTGAGGTCCCTTCCAACCCTGATAGTCTATGAATGTTATCAAGGAGGTCCTGGACTTCAATCTCTTACCTAGCAGCCTAAATTTGGCCTCCAGGACTTCTCTCTGCTATCCTTCCCTATGTCATAGGTACAGATACATTCAGAAGGCAAAGAAAAAGTCCTTACATTTCTAACCCTGTTGTGCTACGTTTTTGAGAAACAAGTTGTCTGAAGGCCTCTATCTTGAAGAGTAAGCCTAAAGAATAGTACAGCAAATTTCTACCCATCCTCTAAACTGTTTAGGATTAGGAAGTTAGATGGACACCAATGTTCTGTACTGGCTATCCTTCAACAAGCATTTCCCACCCCTCCCACCCTTTAAGAACTGGGTTCTGAAGGTTTACTTTGATACCAGTACAAGTACATCTGAACAGGAGGTGGCAAGAATGTGGGGTGTGTGTGTGGGAAGACAGGGGGACTGCAGGCAGAAGGGGTGGGTAGCCCCCCCAAAACCCATAATCTGCCTCTGCATGTGAACTGGGCTCCCAACGCTCCAGAAGCAATTTTTCCCCATTATTATTATTAATTTATTTATTCTAAAGCTTACCACTTTCTTCAAGTTCTATTGGCTCTGCTTCTGAAGCCATTTCTGTAGCTGAAGCTACCAGTCTGTTTCGTTTTCGAGTTTGCCTAGAATTGATGGCTCCTCCACGACGTTTTCTTTGAGTCTAAGAGAAAAAAAGAATATTTGTTTGTTTTTTAAAGCTATTATTAATGCAGACCTGATCTTTAGAGATAGAATGTTTTTAATTGCTGCTAACTGAAAGACTAAAGCATACATGTTTTTGTACGAATTCATTCCAATATCTGAATTGGAAATGCCAAAGTAAAGGCACCACCACAATGCTTCTTACCAGTTGGGCCAGGCAGGAAAGGTGCTTTCTGTGATCACTGGTGATCAAGAGGGCTATTTCACGATTACATCAACTGTTAGATTCAAACTGACTACTTCAGTTAGTTTGGACAAAAACAGGACTATTCCCAACGTTAAGGTTTTTTTGGGAGTAATACTAACAATAGCTAGAGACATTAAACAGGACAGAATATGGGATTACATGGCATCTTAATTTACTTGTATTACAATCTGTATTTTCTCCAGGTTGTTCAGACCACACATTATATTTTGAAATGGCACAAGTGGCTACAAGTCTAAAAATGATAAAGAACGAGATAATGAAGTAAATGCATAACTGACTAAGAAAATACTTACTGTGCTCATGGTGTTTCTTGAATATAAAATACAGAAAAAAGTAAGAGGTACAGATACCATAAAATAAATTGCAAGGAGGCTACAATTTTCGACGCCTTATATTTCTTTAGGAAGTATACAATTAAAAGTCCAGATTTTTCAGTATCTTAGAATGTTGCTCTTCCAAACCTATAAAGAAAAGGAGAGAGAAGATTACCTACCTGTAATTCTTGGTCTCTTAAGTACAGCCATCTCTATCGATTCCCATTTTTGAGTCAACGCTTCCTGCATGAGACCAGTCAGGAACTCCCATAGTTTAAGATTTGAGCCTCTGAGGCATCCAAAAGGTATGTCTCAAACACTTGCTATGCTGTCCTATTCCCAACACCTACAATCCAATGTCAGTTTATTATTGTATTGGGAAAGAACCTAAAAGCCCAAATGAGGTTTCCTTTGAAAGAAGAAGTGGTAACTCTTAGAAGGAGCCAATTATGTGTGCATACAAATTACAGAACCACCAAACTTGGGGGAGGAGTCAGGGTTGGGGACTGTTAATCCAAAACTGACCATCTTCAGTGAGCAAGAATTACAGACAAGTAATTCTCTTTTATCCAGGAGATACCCATCTCCAGATTCAAATATGTGGAAACTGAATAGCTACACGTGGGTGTCTCTAAAACAAATGGAACCCAGAAGTTGGAGCTTACAGAAGGAAAGAGAATAACATTTGGGCATCCCTAGATAGGGGAATAGATTCCATAACAGAATCTAAAATTATCTGAACTTAGATGTGTGTCTTGATGTCAGAACTAAGCAACGCTTTTGTCCATAAAGATGATGACATGGCTGCGCTGCCTGTCTCTGGCATGAAGGGGTCTGAACTTAGCTGCCAAAGTTGTTCTGCCCCAAAGTGTCCTTATAGCTTGGCAGCAGTTCAGCTATTGTTCTTGTAGTAATAAGTGAATCTGTTGCATTACTGTCAAATGACATGAGCTAAATTGACACTCATCTGCACCAGATTAAGCCCAGCGACCTTGATTCTGGTCCTTCAAGGCCCTAATTGATGCAGACTGCCTTGAAGGCTGTATGATGAGCATAAAGGAGCTCAGGAGTGCTTTTAGGCATGCTGCAGGACATGATGGTGAGTTGCATCTGGACCAGATGGCACATCCTAGCCAATTCAACTATATGTAACTACAGGGTATCATCCAGCTACAGATTGACTACTTCTTCAGGCCACTAGGTTATCTTCCATCAGACCTGCAAATGGCCAAAACAAAGGTGGCAAGAGATGAAAGAAAGAACAAAAATGTGCTTGCAGCATCAATGATCCATCAAGAAAGACTGACCCAAGCTCTCCAGACCAGAATGTTCATTAGACAAGACGCAATTTCAATACAAAATTCCTGAGAGTAGTTCCGAGAAACCCAGTGTGTCATAGCCATACTTCTATATCTAGTTGAGAAGATGCTTTTTCAGCATACAAGATGCACTCTTCTACACTCCTTAAAGATGAGGGATAAGCAAAGCAACTGGGATGACGTCAGAGAGGTGAACAGCAAAAGCTATCTAGAGTCTTCATTGTTTCCCCACAACTGTAGTAGCTGAGCACCAGACCAAAAGTAGAGCTAATTCAAAAAATCTGATTTCAATTGAGTGGGACTGGGAGCTATCATGAGTCGGTTGCCGGGAGGATCTTCCCGAATATGGTGATCCCCGTCTCGGAGACTGATGACAGCATGCTGATGACCAGTGGCTTCGGTCCCCCGATCAGTCCCGAGCTCTTGGCAACGCGAGGGGTCGGTCTAGGTGCTCCTGCCGGGGGGTACGTGCCTCGGTGGTTTTGCGTCAGGCTACTGGCGAGGTACGCCTCAAATCCCGCTGTTGATGCCCAAGGTCCGGGGACCGAAAAGGGTTCCGCTAAACCAGCCTCTCTGGCTCTAAGGTGTGACGACTTTGGGTGGGAGAGCGGTGGCGGGACGTCCCTCGCGATCGGGAATGGTGCCGCTGAGGTGGGGATGTATGCGGAGGTCCCAAGGCGGGTTTACCCCGAGACCTGGGTACCGCCGGAGCCGGTGTGGGTGGCACCGGGAGCATCAGGATCTCCTGAGCTGCCTGCAGAGCTTCGGGCATCTATGGCACCTGAAGCTGACGGAGGTCTGTGTCGCTATCCAGGGACGCAGGCAAGGTATGGGATGGGCTGCACCGCTCACCTTGAGTTGGAGTTTGACTTCCTGGGGGAGGGGAGGGGAGAAGAGAGGAGAGAGGGGCACTGAGCTACCCAGCGCAGGTCTTGGCCTGCCCCCAGCCCTCTCCTTTTTCTTGCGGGATGTAGGAGATCGTCCCCTCAGTCTTCTTTGGCTTCTTGGCCAGAGCCATGGAGAGGGAATGGTGCCGGCCTATGGACGGTGCCAGCTGGGCATTCCACACCGATGCTCAGTACCGAGTCAGTAGCCGGAGTGAGTGCCGACTCCATCAGGAGCGCTCCAAGGCAGTTGTCATGCTCCTTTTTAGTCCTGGTTTTGAAGGACTTTCAAGTACAACACTTGTTGCTTATATGCCCTTTGCCCAAGTACCTAAGAGCTGCTATGGAGATTGCTGATGGGCATGGGCAGCAATTGCAGGGCTTAAAGCCTGGGGAAGGCTTTAAGAACTACTACTAAGAATAAGTAATTCAACTACTAACTATATACAACTAAACTACAGGTTCTGCAAAGTTCGCAAGAACGGAGAATAATTAACGCTAGCCGAAGCAGTGGACCTTCCAGCACCGTCACTGGCGGGAAGAAGGAACCGAGGGTGAGGGGAGCCAGTGGCGCTCCTTATACAGTGCCACGTGGGCGCCACACTAGAGGGGACCAGAGCCAGTCCCCTATGGATATTGCTAAGGGAAAAACTGGCACTGGTGTATGTGGTAAGCACACATCCCTAATACGGAATGGACATGAGCACTCAAAAGAAGAAGAATAGGTATGGGAGAGTGGTGTGCCTGAGGCACATCTGCAGTTGCCACAGGATCAAACCTGATTACTTTTGGGAATTCCTGCCAGATCTCTCAATGGAAGCAGAATTGATAATCTGTATTATGGAGATGGCTATATTTGGACAACTACTGAGAAACTGTCATTATATCAGAGTGGGTCAGCACCAACACAAGCCAGCTGAAGACAGTTGAACTCAAAAGGAAACAAGTTCCAAAACCCTATCCTGCCTATATTTTTAAAGTCCTCATTACACCAACTTTTAAACTGACATGCAGAAGATACCTATTCATGCCAGGAGAATTGTAAAGCTTGCGTCTGTAAAACTGTAGGCAAGCTTAATTAGGAGACATTTAAAGATGAAGCTTCAAACATAATTTAAAAAAAAAAAATCTTTTTCCGTTTCTGTTATACCTGCAAAGTTCAGATTGGAGTCCAGTTGCTCACTTTCTTCTGAAGTCTACTCTTTGCAATTATTCAGACTTCTAAGTGTCTTTCAATTTAGGACTAAGATTGAAAATAACTACTTGAGTAGATACACTGACATTAGCAAAGGCTTCCAAATATGCACTCAAAAGCAATTTAAATACAGTTTATTTTGAAACATTCTTCAGGAAAACTAGAAAAAAAAAAAACTAACTCATACGATAGCACTCTTAGTAGTAATATATGTTTCCCTCTGCAAATTTGTGGTTAACAGAATGATAAATAAAAATTCAGTTGCGTAAGTTTATAGTTTCCTATTATGTTTAATGGTAGCTTCTTTACAATGGGTAAGATATTTTTTCTCCTCTATACAGCCTTGACTCAAACAGCAAAGTACCAGAGTCTTACAAACCAAGGATAAAAAGGCAGCATTATGATTCATCTTTAGTACTTCACCAGTGCTACACAAGTTTTCATAACAGCAAAGTGGAGAAGCATTGCTACAACAGCCAAAGGTTAATTTTTTGGCAAGTGTCTTATTTGATAAAGTTCTCTGAACACAGATTAATAGTATACAGCTTTTCCATTTACAGAAGCAAACCCTACAGTTAGTTACATATGGAATCTCATACAATTACAACCTCATTTTCTCTCATAATGTTGAAAAAAAATTGTTCTTTGGGGCTACAACTTTTCTTGCTTGGTTTTAACCCAGAGATGACTCATTCCAGGAAGTCTGAATTTTTAGCTATCTGAGTTACAGGAAAGATTAGGAAAAAGAGAAGAAAGGAGAATGGGTTTTCTGCTTTGAGACATAAGAGATTGTTTTTTGTCCACCAATAACTTATAGGTGGGCAGCAGAGCTCCAAACTTGCCAAGTTTGGAGCAGAATCTCACTGTTATCATTTCCCTCACCACCTCCTCCAATATATTTGTCACTCTCTCTCCCGTCTTGTTCCTTCACCCAATTTCTCCCATGACATGCAAGTATCTTGCTTTGAGAGCACTGGGAAAGGTGGGTTCTTGACCACATCTCTCCCCAGCTACAGCCATTTGGTTCCACTGAAGGTGGCTAGAAGCTAAACATAAATAATGGGGCGTTTTCTGCACCTTGGCCAATCATATTAATAGCTGTGATCATGATGGTTATGAACTGGCCAGTGCTGAGAGCATAGTAAAAGTTACAGCTGAGAAAAGCCAGTTGCAGTTTGCCAGAGAGAGTGGAGCATTCAAGTCTATATATTCCTTGCACAAATTCAAAAAGCCATTTTGAAGTCCTCTCTGATTAGGCTGCTCCTAAAACAATCTGCATAGTCTCTCGGAAGGCTGTGGCCTCTCCCTCACTAGGGCATGGCTAACTCACAGAAAAGAAGAGCTGGTTTGTGCACAGTTTTGCTGTTTGATGCTGAATATTAGAAATTCAAGCTTTGTCTGCCCTGGAAGACTAACGGATTACCAGAGAATAAGTCATGACACCAGAAAGATCCATGAAAATTAAACCTGATTAACTGAAGAGTGGTGTTTTTTTTAAATTCTATTTAAAAGACTGTTTTATTTAACAAAATTTTTTTTTTTTTTTTAAAACCACACACAAATGCCTACAACGAACAGTTGAAAGAAAAAACTGAACAGCATGCCTTCAACTAAGGGCCAAGAATGCTAATAACCCTAAGCAGAAAAATGCCTTTAAAAAGCCACTTTTGTCTGTTTATATATCAGAAAGAAACAAGTGTACAACCCCAAATTCTCTTTTGCGGGTCATCTTCAACATCAGAACAAAGGTAAAATTGTGGGTATAAACAAGTTCAGACTGGAGATTTTAGGATCTCAGAATTTGCTGAATGGAGCAAAGATTTCCAACTTCTTGTTAAAAAACAAAACAAACCACCTCTCTTCTGCAACAGTCTCTGAACCATGTATACGATTCTCAGCTGCCTGGTTTATTCAGATGTGCAGAAAGCCATCTACCTCTAAGCATTAGATGGTAGCATGAACTCACTCTATTCCTTAAAGCAAACAATCTCAAAAGGATCAGGACTATTCAAGTTATTCTTTTCACTAAGCTGTAATATGATTTTATAAAATAATATATGGCACAGGGAAGATTGATTGGGTGCATCTATAGTGGGAAAACCAAGGCCAAGATTTAAAGCAGTGGGTACCTGAAGTTAAGTTCTTGAGTAAGTAGCCTGATTTTCAATAATGCTAAGCACCTAACAGCACACCTTAACTTCAATGGGAGCTGCTAAGTCAGCAAGTGACTAAAAATGGATTTTTTTAAAAAAAGCCTACACTTTTAAGCTGCTGTTACTAAAAGTTTTGAACATAAGAATGGCCATACTGGGTCACACCAAAGGTCCATCTATCCCAGTATCCTGTCTTCTGACAGTGGCCAATGCCAGATGCCCCAGAGGGAATGAATAGAACAGGTAATCATCAAGTGATCCATCCCCTGTTGCCCATTCCCAGCTTCTGACTTTTGGCCTAAGGGAAAGTGGAGAAAACTAAAGTTTAAGAGACTGCATATATAACCCACAGAGTTAACTGTAATGAGATGTCATAGTAAAGAACTTAAAAAGCAAGATTACACATTCATTCTAATATCCAATACTAGATAGGAGGACAATTCATAATGGATATTAATGCTCACACTGCATGACAGACTATCAGTTTTCCCCATAGGCCTGTTATTGCCAAACTGACCATTGTGCTGTATTATTTTTAGGTCCAGAAGGATTATTTTTTTAATCCATAAGTGTTAATTTCACTGTACACACACAAACTGATGGAAAAAAATACTTCTACCAATAGCTGAAATTTATAAATAGGCAAAGAAAGAAAAATGCTGCTTGAGAATTTACTGAAGTTTTATTTAAGGCTATTTACTTTGTATATTTTGACATATGTTGACAATTTGTGTTTTAAAGGTTATAAAGTTTTAACGTTGAGTCTCAATGTCAACTGTTATTAAATATTAGGGTACTTCTACACCACCCACGTTACAGCATGGCCGCGGCAGCACTGTGACGTGGGCAGTGTAGACACGCTTTATCGCCGGGGGAAGAGCTCTCCCGGCGATTAAAAAACACCCCGAATGAGAAGTGGTAGCTTTATTGCCGGGCAAGCGCTGTCTATACTGGTGCTTTTCAGTGCTAAAACTAAAAAAGTTTTAGCACTGAAAAGGTGTGTTTTTTCACATCCCTGAGCGGCAAAAGTTTTAGCGCTGAAAGTGGTAGTGTAGACACCGCCTTAGAGAGACAAGGTAGGTGAGGTAACAGATCTCGTCCTTCGATCTAGAAAAGGTACACAGCATCTCAGCTAAATACAAGGTGGAACAGATTGTTTAGCATTACTAGTTAATGCACATTTCAAGGGAACATTTAAGGGGAAGTGGCCCATTAACACCCCTCCAGTCATATAGCTTGTTGTAATAAGCCATAAACCCAATGTCTTTATCCAATAGAGAAGATTGCATCATAGAACAGACCACCCAAATACACACAGAAAAAACTTATTTAATAAGAAAAAATCCCCTCCAACCCCTAGTTGTCACTGAACACCCCACACTACAACCCAAATAGCTACAACCCATACTCAATGGGGACCCCATCCTGAAAGAAATCTTTCCTGAGCCACCTCTTCTGGCCTTCAAACAACACCTTAGCCTCTCCAAGCTCATCATCAGAAGCAAGCTCCCTGCAGACCAGGACACACAAACTCCAAGCCGCATCAGACCCTGCCAGAACAGATGCAAAACCTGCAGACACATCTCCACTGGTACAATGATCAACACCTCCCACAACACACGTTTCCAAGATT